CCCCCCCGAAGAATAAGCTAATCAAAATTTTAATGTAATTCTGAACTTAAACTGATGCAGCAAGAGTATATTCGTGGTATCAGTGCCTGGAATTTTAACCTGGAGGATCTGAAGAGCCAAGCTGCGCTGGTATGTACTTATTGTCCATTCAATAAAAACAATTTATTTAGCTAACACCATAACAATATCATATGTCTGTTAAATTTGTTCGCCCTTTTCTTTTGCTGTCCATAGCTTCCGGATTATGACGACATTCCAGATGCTGAAGATTCAAGTACTAGCGGGAAGCTGCGGGAGGGGAATGGTGATATTGGTTCTACAGCAGAAAGGCCTAATCAGCCAAGTGTTTCTCATGAGGTATTCATGTTAACCATGTTGAAGTACTAGTTGCTATCTGTGTGTACTATTCTTTTTGACGGATTTACACTTCTCTTTTTAAACTTTCTCAAACTCTTATCATACTCAAGTGCCTCCAGTCTGCTATCTCTTTTTGAGTGAATATTTTTACAAGTTTATCAAATGTGTCCTCCATTATCAGATTTATGATTGTAGATATCTCCATTCAGGATGAGCTGAATGTTGATCATGATTTGGACAGTTCACTTGCTGCATTTCCTATTAAGCCTCTTCAAGCACTCAAGTAAGAATATTGTGTTTTTCCTCATTCTGCTACTTCTGTTGGCACTCGATATTAAATCCATCATACCAACCAAATTAGAGCTGGTTGGTTTCATCATTCAAATGTGTATGTGTGTGTATACAGGTATGTATATATGCACACACATATACATACCTTATATATAATATATACACACATACACACACACAACACTTACCAAGTCTCCATGAGCACATCACATTCCTGAATAATTCAGTCTCAGCAAGACAAACATACAATGCATAAACAGGGTTTTGCCATTTGGAATGTGGTATTCCTTGGAAGCACAACCCTGTTTATGCATTGTATGTTTGTCTTGCCGAGACTGAATTATTCAGGAATGTGATGTGCTCGTGGAGTCTTGGTAAGTGCTGTGTGTATAATTATCTGAGGTATAGAATTAGCATATAAGTCCTGCGAATTCTAATGCACATTCCAACCGCTTAAATGGAGCTCATGACAGCCATGCATGCCTCTACTGAATAGCATACAATCTATGACAGGTTTTCTTATCTCAGAGTTAAAAATTTTGGTAATTTCTTTTTTTTTCTGATAAAGAAAGGTAATAAAACTTTTGGTTGTCATTGAGTTAAACCATGTTGTTCGACCTCTATTTTGTCTGGAATCTCTTCCTTCAAGCTCTTGCTCCTGTGATAAGCATGCTTACATCAGATAGACAGATGAATGAAATTACCTGCTCACTGAGTAGAAAGTGAGCACAAGTTTTTTGAAGGACCGATTATCAAAGGAAAGTCGGTTAAGCCTGAAATGATCCAGCAAGAGTGTAATTATTACATTGCTGACTTGTTAGTTTTATGCTACTCTGTGAAAGTTAATGTGTACATCTTGTACCCGATGCAGGGGGTGTTTTGATGTGTGCGAAGATGACATAACTTCTAGTAGTCCAAGTTGGGAAGATGCTATGCAATCAGAGTCTAATCAGCAGAACTTTATGCTGTCACCAGCAAAAGTTGAGGACCAAGACAATGGAAAAGATGATGGTGAGAATCTGCGACAGAGTAGCTCCTTGCCACGTTCTGTTATTCCAGGGCATAAAAAGTTTTTTAGTGGTTCACTGCTACAGGATAATGCTCTTTCACCCAAAAAAGTTGTTACTGATGGCGAGAGGTATATATATGTATATTTATTTGTTTTCACCGTTGAACTGCTAGACTTGGTCAATGTTTTCTGAAAGAAAAAGAATTTGCAATATGTATGAAGGTAATTATAAACTTATAATAGGCTGGTAATACTACTTTTATGCTGGTAGATCACGAAATTTTCTCAATTAAGAAGTAACAGTAGTCACAATGTGCGATCCCAAGATAAACGACTCTTGTTCTTGAAGTAAATGTAAGTTACTTGAAAATAAAATGATTACTGAATAATTGCAATCGAGGAAGTAGTGGGATTCTTGTTCTTTGACTGTTCTGAATATTTTGACTGTTCTAGTTCTGTGGTGTCAACTTAATTGCTTCTAAGAAGTGCGGTGCTTCAAGTTCCAGCACATTTTTAGTTACATTTTGATGTCACTCAGAGATGATAGTTTCTCTAGACTGCAATTGGTCCACTTATGACCTACATGGTTTGAGTTTTGATGTTAGCTGCATGTATAAACTATTAGTTGGATGCTGCATCATCTTCAGATTACATGGAGACCCTTATCTAGGATAATATGAGGCATAGGTGGCTACACAATGTCCAATTATTGGCAATGGTTCAGAGTCTACATTTTTCATATTTCAACCAGTAAATTGTTGGTTCAAGCGGCGTTATGTTGTTTCATTCTATATGTAGGGAATATCAACATCCAAAGTACCAGGCCGAACGAAACTATAGCGGTCCATTGCAGTATCGACATAAGAAAGACTTAGGTAATCCAGTCTCCGACAATGTATTCAGACGGGGATGTAAAAAAAAAAAAACACAAGTTCCTGCAGATTATTATGAGTTCTTATTTTATAAAGGAATTTGGTCTGTCACCTTTCTTCTTCATCTCTGAATATGCTTTTTGCAGGAGAAGATGCATCAGAAGGAGCTGTCGTCCAACGCAAGGGACGTTTTCAAGTCACATCAGCAGATCTGACTCCCAAGGTATACATCGTAGTATCTTGTATTGATTGTCAGATCAGCTATAATATTGCATTGTGGAAGGGGATTTTGCTTCAACGGCCAGATTCTGTCTCTAATACATGTGAATTAACACGAAATGGCTAATGCCAAAGATACATACATTGCACCATACTTTCTGTTGCTTGTTTCAACAAAAAATGAAAAATCCTTCCAGGTTGATGCGGGAGAAATCTGTTCTATGATTTTGTCGGATTCTGAATTTTTCTATGAAATAACTCACTCTTAATTGAGAGGAGTGAAGCATTTTTGTGTAAGCCCATAGTTCTTTGCTTCTTGTGACATATGGGCACAAAATAATTAATCATGTAATTCGTTTTTAGTACTTTCAGCTGGTGTCTCCTTTCTATTTGTCAAATGAGTTGCATTGTGTATGGGTTTTCCTAGTTTCAGCATAAACCTCCCTATTTGGTGTTCTCATGGTAAGTGTCAAACTCAACAGTCTCTCTTTGGGCGATGGCTTCGTAACCATTGCCTTTTTTCATTTGTTCAGGAACCTACAAGCAGTTTCTTTAACCCAGGTCATGGAGGCTCTACTAGTCCAAGCAATCTAGTTGCTTCACTACTTCCATCATTGCAATGCATTCTACAGCAGAATACTTTGCAAAGGGTAATTTCTACTACATTAAATTGTGTGCATCTATGTTATCTGTTTGCTAATACATTCTGCATCTTGTTAGGAGGAAATAGTGAAACTGATCAAGTTTGCGGAGCGAGCATCTGGTAATTTTATGTACATTTAATCATCACATTTTGACCATCACCACTGGGTGTGCATACCTTTTCGGATGTGGATTGTAGCTACTTCTCCTTAGTCCTTTCGATGTTGGATTTTAACTGTATTTATGTGTTGCCCTTAACTATCTTGTTATTTACATCTGCTGCAGTCAATCCTACAGACTTGGCTGAAGCTGGGACCAGTGATCTTCCACAGGTAATTGGTTGTTCCTTATGTGATAAGCTACTAGAAATGGTGGCACATCGTTTTAAAAAACTACTTTTCTTTTAATGAATAATAAGAGATAAGAAGAATTGACTTGGGAAATGGAGTGTGGTGGAGATACTGAGCCCTAGGACTGTTAAAAAAGAAGACGTGAATTATCCCTATGACCGTTGCTATGATGTGAGTGTGGGGTTTGTGTTGAGTTTTAACTTTTTTTGCCAACTGAAGGTTAAGGCGTTAGAACTTTATTAGTGGGGTAGGTGGGGAGGTTGATGTGCCGAATCCCATCCATGAGTGCGAGGTTGAAGAAACGTGGTGTATTTTGATTTATGGCCTCCTGCATCCTCTAACATCAAACACTGCCACTCTGCAGATGTCTCCTCCTTCTGTTAGGGAGAGAGAATTGCAGTCTATGGTCATTCAAATGCAACAAAGGTATGATATAGAGTTAAGGTCTATGATGTATTTAAACTTGGTTGCTTTGTAATGTTCAACTGAACTTTATCAATTTTCAGCATTGGAAGTCTTGTGGAGGAGTTGCAGAGACAAAAGATGAAGAATATTCAGGTATGTAGCAGAATTGTTAGAAAATGCTTTCCTTTATTTTCTTTCAAAGATCTGAATATTTTTAGTTCGAAGTTGAAAAATTGATAATGAAAATGTGGTGTTTCTTTCTGCTTGCACGTTATATTAAAATTAGTAACCATTGACGATATGATTGTCTGAAGTTGTCATTTCTGTCTTGCAGTTGGAAAAGAAATTGAATACAGTGGTAAAGAAAGAATAGAGAAGATTGCACCACACGGCTGGTGAAGTTTCTCTCATGCTCGTGCTAAGGCACGTCGTTAAGTTACTTGGGCAAGTGGGTTGTTGTAATTTTTGTGTACCATATGTGTGAATGTAAAGTAGGCACCAAAATTTTGAGATGCTATATTCATTGTCAGAATATCTATGATCTATTGTAATATATACCAATTTGGTATTGTATTTAAGTAGTTCTTCTTCAATACTAATTGAAAATCAGGGAGCAAAAGTAGCTACTTGTGTAAATTACCCTGCAAAACCTAGTTCCTTGTTTCAACCAATAAACCTGTATGGAGGAGTCTATTCCATTTGAAATTCTTTGCTTTGATGTTTGGGTTGTTGGTTATGTCAGATCTCTCCTCCTTTTTCTTAAATATAGCTGAATATTGGGGTTCTCCCATGCAGAAAAGTAAAGTCCCTGATGTTCTAAAAAGCTACCGAAATACATGAAGATATATTTTTTAATCTAATAAAAAAAAGTAGAAAATTATTATATGTGTTATGAACAATAAATGAAGAATAAGAGTATTGCAGAGAAAAGTAGAGAGAATTCTTATTGACATTTGAATGAATTACAATGGAATAGAACCCTCTATTTATAGGGAGAGGGTGACTTAGCCACCAAGCAATGAACCCTAGAATCTCTCTAAATATAGACATTCACCATAAATACAATTCTATTTATAACACTCCCCCTTGAATGTCTATTCAACAGATAATGTGCCTCGTTAAAACCTTAACTAAAATAAAACCCAGTGGGAAAAAAATTCTAGAAAAGGAAAAAGAGTACACATATCTAATAATACGCCTTTTGGTTGCCTCGTTAAAAACCTTGCAAGGAAAACCTAGTAGGACAAAACCTTGTAAGGGAAAAAGAGTACAACGCGTATTACCTCTCCCTGATGAGAGCATCAATTCACATCCTTAAGCATTTGCATTTCAATCTTGTGCACCATCTTCAAAAGATCTTTGGTAGAGATTTGATGAACAAATCAGCCATATTAACTTGAATGAATATATTCCACCTTGAAATTATCATTCTTGATAGAGATGTAATGTCTTCATATAATGTCGTGGAATGACTTTTCAATATTTCCATAGAGGTATTCTCGCTATCACGTTTTCATGCTTATAGTTATAGCAAGATACATTTGTGCACAAATTGCACTGAGAATGTAGTACTTCATGACCATGAATTCTATATGCTTTAAGCAATTTAAATCCTTCAGGGATTGTTAAGTCATATAAGTCATATAATAGACTTTAATTAGATGCATATCACATTTTCATGTCTTGCTAGACAAATAAGATATCGAAAACTGATTGCACATATCATTGACTTTATACTTTCAAGTGTTTGAACTGCAGGTCCAAAATTACATGTCTTTCATATGAAACCAAATTCTACTTGAATTGTTTCTCCAGACTTAAGATACTCATATATATTTAGCGCTATATAGATGTCGTCGACAAACATTTTATATCGGTTCCAACCTCCTTATTTTTCATAAAGACATAACATAGAGATCTCTTCATTCATATATTCAGGTACCTGAATCTCTCATGAGATTTTATGAAGTGTTATGTCATGTGATCTTCTAGATCACTTGCCTCCTTTATTATGATCATTTGCTCATCTTCTTTATCAAGAAGTTTATTTGAAACCGATTTGTCTATACGCTTTAACCGTACCATAGACTTTGTCCTTCTAGGACTTAATAGGAGCATTTGCAATGAAAATATAGTTACTTTCTTTGGGCCAGCAAATGCGTCTGGCATGCTTTGCAATATATTGCAAATGAATTATCCTTTTATGAACTTCAAGTTCATATTATCTTATTTGAGGATCTAGACGTACAAATTATAATTCATTCCACGTAACTTTTTCTCAACTGTTTATCATGTCTCTCCCTCATGTTAGAAAAACTAACTTGTTTCCTCAACTTTGAGAACCCATCTTTGTGCGTTATGGTATTAATCAAAATATACACTGCACATCAATAATAATAAGATGGAATTATTTGGTTCCTGACCCTGAAACACTTGTGAGGGGAGAAAATAATATACTTTCGTATATAACGTATATCAAATTGATACATATAACTTTGTTCTCATAAGCAATCGTTTAGCTATTAAGTGGAGGCACTCAATAAATCATTTTGCTAAACCAATTGTGATGTAAACCAACTTATCAAGAAGAACTATCTTGAATAAAAAATCTGGAAATTATGCTCTAAATCAAATTATTGAGCAAGTTACCTCGCAAACACCATGTTGCGGGTTAATAATAATCGCACATGTAACCATCTCATAGATGCATCTTATGTGGTATACATGGCAGGTGAATGGACCCATATTCACCTTTGATATTTCCAGCATTCATGGATTCAATCCCAATTTTAGTTGGTATATTAATTAATGAGAACAAGCAACATAAGAGAATTCGTAAAGAACTTTCTAGTTCTTTAATATTTACCCATGTGAATTCTCTTTTATTTTTGCACATCATACTTAAATTGATATGGCTAAACTAATTATGCCAACTGAATAAATTATCAATATTGATAAACTTCAGGTTTACACCATAATGTGTGCAATTATCAATAAACTCCAAGTTTATTATGATATGGGTTTTTATATCAATAAATCTCTTTATTGTGGCATTCTTTTGTTTGTGTAGTACAAACTGGAGAATAAAACGGGTAGCTTTTCACATACATATTGCCCCGCTACAACTTGTAGTAATAGAAGATATTAAATCTTTCCTTTATTTATAGTCTCAATATAACAAGCCGCTTTCGCGAATACTTTAGAAACTAAGTTTCTTTGAAACTTACTACAACACATTGATAATTAATTGTACGGAAAAGGGCTAAAACTATCCCTATCGTTTGCTAAATGGTTTATAAATACCCTCCGTCCATCTATCCGTTCAAAAAAATACACTTCGTCTATCTATCCGTTCAAAAAAATACACGAAGTTAATTCTATTAACAAAAATACCCCTGTGACTAACAGCAGAACTGATGGAGTGTGTTTTTTTGAACGGATAGATGGACGGAGGGTATTTATAAACCATTTAGCAAACGATAGGGATGGGTCTTTCATTTAATGACGTGACGATTTTTAATTGGGCCACGTGGCATTATTGACCAAGAATCAAATATGGGTCTTATTTTTACCCACTCCCCTCTTCTTCTTCTTATGAACATCCCAAAAGTAACCCTTTACTTTTTTTTTTCACCTTTTATAGATTCAATCTTTATCCTAGAATGTGATAGTTTCAAGCTTTTTAGCACCTTGGTTTCAATTTTCTTGTGTGCTTGTATCAGTTATATGTAGTTATTTTTTCTCTGTTATTTCGTGGCTCATTTGTCTTCTTATGAACAATCCAAAGATTTCCATTACTTGTCCCTTTCAAAGTTTCAATATTTCTCCTAGATTTGATTGATACATTTGGACAATTTTAGCATTTGGGCTCAATTTTTTTGTTTCAGATTTTTGGTTTGTTTTGATCCTTGTCTTCTTACTTAACAACCCAAATGTATCTGTTGATTTTCCATTTAAGAATTTCAATACTTATCCTGAGTTTGATTGGAGAAATTTCAGAATCTGGTTTGAATTTCGGGTTATTTGATTTTGGGTTTTATCTATTCTTTAATTAATTTGTTATCGTGTGTATGCAGTGTCCCAATTGGAGAAGAAGAAAGGGGGAGATCAGATGAGTGGGAATGGGTGTGATAGATACTACCCATTTTTGTAAAGGGGTCGGATAAGGTAAATGGGTTGAAATAATATCCATTTTTTGTTCCAGTCAAAGATTGTCACGTGGCCCAACTAAAAATTGCCACATCATTAAATGAAAGACCAATCCCTATCGTTTGCTAAATGGTTTATAAATACCCTCCGTCCATCTATCCGTTCAAAAAAACACACTCCATCAGTTCTGCCGTTAGTCGCGGGGGTATTTTTGTTAATAGAATTAACTTCGTGTGTTTTTTTGAACGGATAGATGGACGGAGTGTGTTTTTTTGAACGGATAGATGGACGGAGGGTATTTATAAACCATTTAGCAAACGATAGGGATAGTTTTGGCCCTTTTCCGTTAATTGTATTCCTCCAAAATGTTAATAATTGGCTCTTCCAGAGCTCTCAATTAATTTGGTACTACCACATATTCATCAACATCCATATGGTGAATATCTCTTTTAAAGAGAAAGTTATACCATTATGGTTATGGTCAAAATTATATATGCAAGATATGTTTCTTGCATTACCGTTGTCTTTTAATAATCACATTGCCAAAATATTTTGGCGTACAATAGGTATGTGACCAGTGATCATTCATGCCATAATAATGACATAATGTGACATTGTTTTCTTATATCATCTCAAACCTCCTTTTAGAGGTGAGTGCGTGGTATATTCACTACCACTAGCATGTTCATATTTTTCCAAGAATGAATATGTATTCATAAATTACATGTTGTCACATTCAAATCATGAATGGACCATAATCATCTATATGTGCTTTACAAAATCTCATGTCAAATCGTTGACAAATATTACTTTCACATAGTGAAGGATTATTTTGAGAATCCTTATTATTCTCATTATCACATTGATGACAATTATAATTTCGTCTATTACCACGTCCACATATTGATACCTTCACGGTAATAATTTTGTCTTCTTTCAGACTTATCACATATTGCTATCACATTCTCAAGGGAATGAGAATGGAGCAAATTCAATGGGATGGGTTTTCACTTCTTGTGCTCACGATCATACATGACTTTGATCATGGCAAGACATAGAAATTTTACCACTTCGAGTGGTTATAATATCTTACTAACTCCATTAGAGTTATAATCAAAATTTGTTGTCTTTGCTTGTATATAAAATCCAATTATAGAATTTCAAGAATTTAAAAGAGAAAAATAAAGTAAAATACTTACCTTAAATCCAGAATTTAATCACGAAGGAAGTTCATGGAACAATTGACAATAGTTATGTTCAATCCCAACGTTTCTACCCAATTGGTTAGAGTCTCGTGCTGATAACGTGTTATGAACAATAAATGAAGAACAAGAGTATTGCAGAGAAAAGTAGAGAGAGAATTCTTATTGACATTTGGAATGAATTACAATGGAATAGAACCCTCTATATATAGGGAGAGAGTGACTTAGCCACCAAGCAATGAACCCTAGAATCTCTCTAAATATAAACATTCACCATAAATACAATTCTATTTATAACAATATGATTAAAGTTGCACTGTACTACATAGGACTTATATCCTACTACCTGATCCCATAATCTTCTAGTTTTCACTTCTCGGGAGTTAAAATGAGGCTGGGATTATTACGATTTTAAGCATATTAACTGATTTTTTTTCTTTTTATATCATACGTAATACGACAAAATTGAAGAATGTAGTAATTTCTGAGCTTAAAGTTTAGATTATACACTAGTTTGTGCTCACATGTTTGCCCGATGGTAGTAGCAGAGAATGAAAAATGGATTTTATTTTAAATTTTAACAAGCAAAAGAAATTCTTTCCTACTTATCTAATCGGAAGAAAATACCATAAAAGTCATTTTACGTATTCGTTGTGGAATATTACGAATATTACGTTGCTTTAAGGTTGAGATTCCAACTTCCGAAGAGTTTGGGCCACAAGAAAAACGCCGTTGCCGGGGATCGAACCCGGGTCACCCGCGTGACGGGCGGGAATACTTACCACTATACTACAACGACATTGTTTTCAGTTTTAGCTTTAGCTTTTATTTGGACGGAAACCACAAACTGGATACGTATTCAACCTTTCTTTTTTTCTTTCAACCTTGTTGGTAGCTTTGGCTTTAGGTTTTATTTGGCTGAAAAACTACAAACTGGATACATATTCAACCACAACTTGTTGAGATATATGGAGCACATGTAAAGAGGCCCAATAGTTGATAAGTAGTTCTGGGCCCAATATGTACAGCTGGCCCATTTCATTTGTACTGATTTTTTGGTTATTAGTATATTAGGACCATTTTCTATTAGTAAGGGACAAGATATACAATTGTACAGAACATTCCAGATTATTGATGAAATAAGAACTCTCTTCTTCTTCTCTCACCTCACCCGATTCAGGGTTTTCTTTCACTTCTTTTCCTTCTCAATTTCTGCAAACAATCAACTTAACATGGTATCAGAGCAGGATTTATTGGAACGATCTCGACCTCAGCTATTGTCCGATCCTAGCCTTGAACGAAGTTTTGGAGATTTTCTCGGTGCGGTGATTCTATGGCAGTGAAAGGAAAAATTAGGTCTTTTCGCTCTCAGGATTTCAGATTTGATCTTCGTTATTCTTTACCTTTTCGATTTTGCAGACGATTGGTAAACTTTTCTCATTTTCCTGATTGCATGTTCGATTTGAGCTGATTTCTAGGGTTACATCTACTGTGAATTCACAACTCTACGGATATTTTTTTCTGTTGAAATTTTATTGTTGAATTGATTGATTACAATGAGTGGTAACGAGAATTTGACTGAGGAGCTTCGTGGTACCACAACTAGTTCTGAAGGTTTTGCTGAATTTACTCTTGATCCTTGTCATCCTTTCTATATTCATCCATCTGACAGTCCTGGCAGTCAATTAGTCACTATTCCCTTTGATGGAACTGGCTTTGTTATTTGGCGTAGCAGTATGTTGACTTCTCTCTCAGATAAAAACAAATTAGGTTTGGTCACTGATAGGATACCTCAACCTCAACTTGATTCTCCTTATTACTCCTTTTGGGAACGTTGTAATAACATGGTAAAAGCTTGGATTACTAACTCCTTGAGTAGAGAAATTGTTGTGAGTGTTATGTGTTTCAATACTACTAGTGAAGTCTGGAGAGACATAAATGATAGGTATGGTCAGTCAAATGGTTCCAAGTATATCCAAATTCAAAGGGAAATTAGCAGCACATCTCAAGGGACATCTGATATAGCCAGCTACTTTACCAGAATGAGAAGTCTCTGGGATAAGCTTAATTCTGCTTATGTTGGACCAACATGTTCATGTGGTGCTCTTCCTAAATTCATTGAGGACCAACACTTGTTCCAGTTTCTCAGTGGGTTAAATGAGTCCTATTCCACAGTCAAAAGTAGCATCTTAATGATGTCCCCTTATCCAAGCATCAGCAAAGCCTATTCACTTTTACAACAAGATGAAAGTCAAAAGGAAACTAAATCCATAGCCCTTGGGTTTTCAGCTGATTCAGCAGCCTCATTCTCTGCTTCATCTGGAATATCCTCCTCCACAAATAGGTCATACAATCAGAGGGTAAATTTTGAGTCCAAGAGGCCTACCTCTCATGTGATTTGCAAATATTGCAAGAAGCCTGGGCATAGTATAGACAAATGCTATAGACTTCATGGCTTCCCAGCTGATTTCAAGTTCACCAAGTCCAAGAGGTCTGCTGCATGTGTTCAAGTGGGGGATTCTTCTCCAAGGAACTTGACTGCTGCTGGCTCTAGCAACAATTCTTCAGACTCTGCTTATGGTTTCAGCAAGGAGCAATATGAACATCTCATGACTCTCTTCCAACAGGCAAATATTTCTTCTGGTTATCCTCAGTCCACTTCTCCTGGAGAAAATGTTGGTTTTGCCAACTTTGCAGGTGTGTGCATCTCCCTGTAGATCAGTTCCCTGCAGTAAATTCTGTTATACATTCCTTGTCTTCTCAGTTAGGAAAAATTCCTTGGATTTTAGATTCAGGTGCAACAAACCATATAACCCCTTACAAACAGTTTTTACACAATATTAAACCTCTAACTTCCCCTTACTTAATCACCTTGCCAAATGGATATAAAGTGAAAGTTATTTCTACTGGATCCCTGCACCTTAGGCAGGATATAACTTTACACAATGTTCTTTTGGTTCCTTCCTTTCAATTCAATTTAATTTCTGTACATCAACTTCTTTGTCAATTGANTCATTTCCCGGCTTTAGAAAATGCCATCATTTCTTCTAACTTCTAAAGAAGAGGAAGAACTTCGAATTAACTCCAGAATGCCATCATGCCCTAAAATACCTTAAATCGTACTTATCAAGCCCTCCGTTACTGTCAAAACCAGAGGAGGGTGAACAATTGCTAATTTACTTAGTGGTCTCAGAGGTAGCGGTAAGTGCCGTTCTAGTCCGGGAAGACGAAGATACCCAATCTCCTATCTATTACGTTAGCAAAATTTTAACGGGAGCAAAACTCACTACCCATACCTCAAAAAATTGGCCTTAGCTCTCGTAGTCGTTGCTCGAAAGCTTAGGCCTTATTTTCAGTGCCATGCGATAATCCCGAGTCCATAACCAAAGGAAGCAGAGCCATCTAGTTCTGGAGATGCTGAACGCCAAGCCGAGTCCTCATAAAGCGAGGCACCTACAGTACCATACAAGTTCCCAAAAGCTCCAGTGTGAATGTCTTTTACTGAAGCATATGGTGACGTATTGACAGCATTGCCGCCCGAGTTTCGTCCATACACTGCCCCACCTGTTTCACCACTGTTAGTGATGTTGCCACTGCCAAAAGAACCATTTCCACCACCTTGACCTGAAATTGAAGAGGCACCCCAAATNTAACTGCCACTTACATTGTCAATAGACTACCTTCATCAATCTTGGGTAATACTACTCCTTTTGAAAAACTACATGGAACTCCCCCAGCATATGACCACCTGAAGTCATTTGGTTGCCTTTGTTTTGCAACTACCCCTAAACCTGGGAGAGACAAATTCCAGCCTAGAGCTGTTGCTTGTGCTTTCCTTGGTTACCCTCTTGGGAAAAAGGGATATAAGTTGCTTAATCTCTCTACTCATTCTGTATTTTTTTCCAGAGATGTAGTTTTCCATGAGCACATATTTCCATATTCCTCTGCCCCATCTTCTTCTGTTTTTCCTCCTCCTTCTGTTTCTTTTGAAGATCCTCCTCCTTTTCTCTCTTCCACTGCTCCCTTATCACCTTCTCCTGATTCTAATTCTGTCTCTCCTGATTCTGATTTTGTGCTACCTACTGCACCTCCTTCTGATTTTTCTCCTTCTTCCTCCAACCATCAGGAACCTCCTGTTATGCCTGTTTCTTCTTCTACCTCTCCTCCTCCCACTAATCTTGTACCTTCTTCTCCCACCTTGCCTGTTAGGCATTCTAATAGGGTTTCCAACCCTCCCTCCTACTTATCAGACTATATTTGTTCTTCTGTTCTTCCTGCCTGCCCTGTTTCTACAAATTCAAAGATTTCTACTACTGAGCTACAGCTGTAGGAACCCCACTATTATCAGCAGGCTGTCTCACATCCTGCTTGGCAAGAAGCCATGCTAAAAGAGTTCCAAGCTCTTGAAGCTAACCATACTTGGGATATTGTTCCTCTCCCTCCTCACAAGAAACCCATTCCTTGTAAGTGGGTGTACAAAATTAAACAGAAATCTGATGGCACTGTTGAAAGATACAAAGCCAGATTAGTCATAAGGGGTGACACACAAAAGGAAGGGATAGACTACAATGAGACTTTTTCCCCAGTTGTTAAATTCACTACTATTAAGTGCCTACTCTCTCTTGCTGCTAAAAGGGGTGGACTGTTTATCAACTAGATGTCAACAATGCTTTTCTTCATGGTGATCTCCATGAAGAGGTTTATATGAGGCTGCCTCCTAGTCTAGTGGTTTCTGGTCATTCTTCCTCCTCTTCTCCACTAGTTTGCAAGCTCAAAAAGTCTCTCTATGGCCTCAAACAAGCCTCAAGACAGTGGTTCTCTAAATTGTCTGAAGCTTTGGTTTCCAGAGGTTACCTGTCTAGCAAAAATGATTATTCATTGTTCACTAAGACTTCTTGGGGCTCCCTGACTGTCTTGGCAGTATATGTCGATGACATTCTATTGGCAGGAGATGATACTTCTGAATTGGATGCTCTTAAGGATTTTCTGGATGCTATTTTCAAAATCAAAGACTTATGTTCTGTTCACTACTTCTTGGGTTTGGAAATTATACAACAACCCCAAGGTTTCTTGATGTGTCAGCACAAATTTACATCTGATCTCTTAGAAGAGTTTCATTGTGATCATTTCACCCCTGTCAATACTCCTCTTGATCATTCCATCAAACTCTCTTCTGCTATGGGAGAGTCCCTTTCTGATCCTAGCATCTACAGACGGATTGTGGGCAAGCTTAATTTCTTGTGCCATACAAGGCCTGATATTGCATATTCAGTCCAACATCTTAGTCAGTTTCTTCAAGCTCCTCAAGTTCCTCACATGCTGGCTACTATACATATTTTGAGGTATCTGATGAAAGCTCCTGATTTGGATATTTTCCTTCCTAAGTCTACTGACTTTTCCCTCTTGGCTTATTCTGATTCTCATTGGGCCACTTGTGCCCAGACTCGGAGGTCTGTTACTGGGTATTATATTACTTTAGGGGGCTGCCCTATCTCCTGGAAAAGTAAGAAACAACCCACTATATCTCTCTCCTCTGCTGAGGCAGAGTATAGAGCTCTACGCAAAGTGGTTGCTGAAATTTCTTGGCTTGTTCGTTTATTGGCTGATCTTGGGTTGGTTATTTCTAGTCCTGTTCCTGTGTTTTGTGATAGCCAAGCTGCTTTGCATATCGCCAAGAATCCGGTCTTCCATGAACGCACTAAACACATTGAGGTTGATTGCCACTATGTTCGGGATAGCATACAATCTGGTCTCATCACTTTACATCATATTTCTTCTTCTGCTCAACTTGCTGACATTCTCACCAAGTCCCTTCCAGGCACCACTCATCATCATCTCCTTGGCAAGCTTGGGTGTCAACACCCTCAAGCTTGAGTGGGGGTGTTGAGATATATGGAGCACATGTGAAGAGGCCCAATAGTTGATAAGTAGTTCTGGGCCCAATATGTACAGCTGGCCCATTTCATTTGTACCGAATTTTTGGTTATTAGTATATTAGGCCCATTTTCTATTAGTAAGGGACAAGATATACAATTGTACAGAACATTCCAGATTATTGATGAAATAAGAACTCTCTTCTTCTTCTCTCACCTCACCCGATTTAGGGTTTTCTTTCACTTCTTTTCCTTCTCAATTTCTGCAAACAATCAACTTAACACAACTAGGTCAAAGCTATGGGGACGAATGGATTGAAAAGTTCCAACCTTTCTTTGACATGTATGTAAATTTATTAGAGTTCAACAAGTTCCCAAAAAGGACGAGGATTTTGCACCATAACAAGATAATAGTCATTAAAATTTCAGAAAAAAGAGCATATTCCTACATCGAGATGTATAGCATGTTTGGCCAAGCTTCTTTTAGGCCAAAAGTGCTTTTTTTTGGCCAAAAGCACTTTTGGCCAAAAATTGAGGTGTTTGACCAAGCTTTTGGAAGGAAAAAAGTGCTTTTAAGGAGAAGCAGAAGCAGTTTTGGAGAAGCAGAAAAAATTAGCTTCTCTCCAAAAGCACTTTTCTGAGAAGCACTTTTGAGAAAAATACACTTAGAAACAGTTTTTTAAAGCTTGGCCAAACACTAATTGCTGCTCAGAAGTGCTTTTCAAACTAATTAGCCAAACACAAACTGCTTCTCACCAAAAGTACTTTTAAGAAAAACACTTTTGAAAAAAAGCACTTCTCAAAACAAGCTGATTTTTACAGCTTGGCCAAACGGGCTATAGTAATATAACCAATAGATTTCAAATTTTCAGCAAAATCGAAGCCACTCGGTGCACACAAGGGAAAGAGGGCAAGTTCCTTGGGTCCAAAACATTACGATGATTACACAGGTTCTCAGGTGAACAAGAAATGCTTTTGTATAGTCCACAACGAAAAGCCCCTTCTTTCCATGAGGGCGCCTATATAAACACACTTGTTCCTAATTTTCTATCAACCAATGCAAATCAATAATTTCTCTCAACTTTTAGAGCCTACAGGTCTTGCTATAATAGAACAATAATACATCAATGATGAATAAGCATAAGCACTTCACAGCCTCAGATAATCATTAAGTTTCTCTCTTTGGCTACTACAAGTCCGTAAAATATGAGGAATCCAAAATTGACAGTCCAGGTCACCAAAGGCAGTTCTCAGTCACAGCCGAAACAATGCCTTTCAAGGTGGGCTGCATAGAAAAAGAGGGCCATGAATCAAAGGGAATACACACTTTTATGTGCGAAAGAGATTAATATATCTTCACGTTACCAACCAGAGAGTGGTCTCGTAGACCAAGAGACAAGACCAAAGACCTAGAAGAACCTGTGCTACTGCAAATTAAGCAAGGTTTGAAACAGTAAAGAGAAATCAATCTCTCATTCAGGGCATCATTCTTCACAAAGAGCGGAAATCAAAAACTTTATTTACCACACATACCTTATGTGTTCAATAATCTGCCGAGCACATGCAACTAGCATGGGCTGCAGAGCAAAATACAGTTTATGAAGTTGATAACCATACATGAGAGGACATGAAATTGTTGCAATATATTCTAAATTACCTCATCGCGTTTACCCAGTAACACAGAAACACTAAAGGTTGGGTGGATCAACACCCCTTCCTCCTTCCTGCACATGTACGGAAAAACTCTTTTCAACTGAGTGACGAGATCAATAATGAGAACAACTAAAATATGCAGCTACAAGATCTCAAGAGTCATTCTCATTACAGCAATAGGAAGAACAAGTGAAACTACAAAACAAATACTATGACTTAATAAAAACAAAAGATACAATGATTTCAAAGCACAGATCACAAAAAAGAGCATCGACAGGCTTCAATTACACAGTTGTGCCCAAACCAAATATGTGCTTATCAAAAGAAATCTGAAAAACAGCAATTTCTAAACAAGAACAGTCGAAAAAGATGCAGACCTGGCATGCAGAATTGTACCCATACTTCCTATTTGAGTAGCTATAACCTGAAAACAACAATAAAGGTTCGGAAATGCTCTCACGTGACTACAACTTCAAAACTAAATCAGGTGTTCCCCACTCACCAGAAAATGGTCATCATAGGCACAGATGACTATATCTGTTTTATTTCCCTGCATGCATGAGAGGTTTGTAAGATAATTTAGCTCGAGAGAATAGAAAAACTAGAAACATTTTTCCACTACGACTGCATTTCAACTGAATTATTTTTTTTTTCTCCAGCAAAAGCAAACTTGAAGGATGTTTCTTCATCTCCCTAAACCTAATGTGTTTCTTATTTTGCCTCCAAAGTATAGATTTCCAGATATATCTCCATACAATCCAACTACGTTCATATTAGAACAAAAAACATTATGCTCAACTCATGAATACACAAAATATAATCTTCCTCAGCTCTTTCTGTGACAAATTTTGGAACCAGAAATAACAGAATCAATCAAAAGCAAGCTTCATACTATTTTTAGTAAAATTACAAACAAACACACACAGAACCGCAGGCACATCTCTGATACATGCAAACAAAAGTTGAGTGCAAGGGAAATTGAAGAGAAGAGAGAACAATATCTTTTTTACTTTGATATGGAAATGAGAGAAGCTAGTTAATCCATGACCTAAATGAAAAGCATATCTTTAGAAAGGATTATGGTTTAAATGACAAGATTTTCCAAATTAGCAAACACATAAGCCGATAACAATAGCTGACCCCAACTTGCTTGGAATTGAGGCATAGTTGTTGTTATCTTGTACACAACAATAAACAACAGTTAGGGCATTCTTCAGCTTCACACGTAACGCATACCGTCATGTATAGCACATGTACATAAACCTCATACCACTTAAAATATTGTCCACCAAATGTTTTTATTTTCCCTTTCTAACAAGACGAGCTGCAACTCAAAGTCACAAAATTTTCCTTTCTTCTTTCTCCTTTATGCCTTCCCTTACCTATATCTCATTCTCATGTTCAAAGAAAGGATTTCTATTTGTGCTTTTCTCTTTTCCTTTTTCCGCTGGTTGTATTTTACCATTTTTTTCAAATGTGGAGGCATATATCAACCAATCAACTCCGTCATCATTCAGAACTAGTTCTTGTCCATAATATGATCATTTTTTTGAAGTTTTGACTTGACATTTATTTTGAATAGTTTAATCACACAGGAAATTTTCCCAAAAAAAAAAAGAAAGTCCATGCTAAGAAAGGTATCATAGATAATTACAGAAATTGCAAGGGATAGTATAAATATTCCAATGTAAAAAGGGTAAAATGTCAAGACATACCTTAATATCAAGTGCAAGCTTCTTGTGCTGGACCGGTATGTCCATAGCTTCCTCTAATATTCCACCTTACGAAAGAAAAACAAATTACTTACAATTTTCAATAAGAAAAATGATATCAAAGCACAAGAAAATCGCAACGAACTTCCAATTCCTATATATCTTTGTTTCCTTTTTCTTAATTCTTATTTCCTGTATTTGATGCTTGTTCAACAAGAAAAAGAGAAGCTCGTTGGTTGCAAATAAGCACGATCACTGCTAACACAATTCTACTGCATTTTTCTAATTCAAAAACATTGCTTGGCTGTTGAAAGAAAAGAAATTGAAGAAAGCACTAAAATACCTGGAAAAATTGAGCTTTAAGCAGAAACTGGAGGTCGTAAGTAAAAAAGAGCTCTAAGCTTGGCCGTTGGCGTCTTCTCGAAGAAGAGGGGTGCCGGGTCCCATTGCTGGGCCGGGAACAGAAGGAAGTAGTTGGGCCTTGCACCGGTTTGGGAACGTAAAAATAGCACAGGCTAGCAGTTTTCGGACTGGTCATCCAAAAATAGACAGCGTTTGAAAAGTTATTGAAAAATAGCCACTATTTTGCTGCAATGCGGAAATTTCCAGCATAATATACTGGATAACGGTGCACCTGTGTATGAACTTCCAGCATATTATGCTGGAACTCCAACACGCGGGAAGTTCCAATATAATCTACTTCTCCAATCTCCAATATATTATGTTGGACCGGAATACTTATACTGGAATTCCAGTATATTATACTGGAGTATTTTTCAGTATTTTGAACAATGTTTTCGTTTAGATTTATCTTTACATGACAAGTGACTAAATTTCGATTACTTTTGAAACTGCGGCTATTTTTGAATGTCCACTTATAAATCTGGCTATTTGTGAATTTCTCCCTTTGGGAACTGGGGCCAGGGCCTAGATTTATGGAAGCCCAATGTTACTGGCCTAACTGGGATTGGCAGGATTATTTGCACTCTATAGCCTCTTTGAGGTCTAAATTCTATCTTCATTTGCCTGGTGAGTTAAATTTCGCTTTTAAATTTTTTCTTTCATAGACGAATTTATTCCATGAACTAATAGGGGATTAAAGTTGAATAGTGGCCTGAAAAAGGCCATTTGTGCAAATTCCCGAATGCGTAGATGGGAATGCCCAAGTGAGGTGGGGGTAAACTTCACAAATAATCATTTTTCACCCCCTTTAACTGAAAAATAGTCACTGCCAAGGAGTTTTAAGTTTCTTAAGTAAAATTTAATGACAGCGTCTATTTTTCAGTTCTAGGATCGAAAAGTGGCAAAAACAAAATGGTTGTTCCCTCTGTTTTCTTTTTGAAAAAATTGATTCATAATCTTTAATAGATAATGAATAATTATTTTAAAAACAAAGAAATGGATACAGGAAAAACAAAAGAAGGCCAAAAAATGCACCTGATCAGCAGTAAGAGTGTCAATGGATATTTATAAATTGACTAAACCGACCAAACTATATCGTACCGAACCAATTTTTAGGTTTCTTTTTAATAAAACCGTAGGTTTTTATGTAAATCTATAACCGTACCGATAATTAGGATAAGTTTTTAATTTTATATAAATAAACCGAAAAAATACCGAACCGTACCGAATAAATTTACATGTGAAAAATATATTTATATATTAGATTTAAAAATTATGAAATATTAAATTTTTCCTTGGGCCTTGGAATTGTGAAAACAATTATAAGCCAACAAGTAATTAAAACTCAAAATCCTAATTTCCAAACCTATTATACTACTCCTATTGAAATTAAATTATTTCCAATATATTCACTAGCAAGACACAAGGTATTCTAACGATTATAAGTAGCAAAACTACAATATATTGAACATGTTTCTTTTCGTACGATTCAATTTTTTTTTTTTGAATGTTTAATCTTTCATAGACTTTATTCTTGAGTCATGATCACGCCCAACTCTATCTAGTCCTAGAAAGGATAAGTGGTCGCTGCAAATATAATCCGGTCTAAAAGTCCGGAGTCGAATCCCACAGAGAACTAAAGTTTCGCTATAATTGTTCAATATCACTAAGAAGACAAGCTCGAGTAAATTTCTAAGTTATAAAGATTAAGATTCTTATATCTAACTAATTAACTAAGAAACTAAAGCAGTAAATTAACAACTAAAGATACTAAGGGGTGGAGATTAAATTTAGGAGGTCTAGAGTTATGGTTTCCCCAAATGTTAGAATCCTTCCCGCTATGTTCCCTACAATTTCGCCTATGTATCCTCTCCTGATCGTGAGCACTTTAGGTGCCCTAATTCTCTCTCGAGCAACTACAACAATTTACTAGACATATTCTCTCGAACTACGCTAGTTGGATTTATCTAACGCTCATTATGACCACATCAAGGCTTTGTTGTTTCTAAACTTACCTTTAAACCCACTATATTGATTTCTCACATACGTTAGGAGTGACGTTGTTCAATAACCACCTAAATATGTATCCTTTCTCAAGCAACACATAATAAATAGGCACAGTCAATCGACGGCCATTCAATCAACTGAAATAAACACGTAGTTGAATAAATAGATAAATTCAATGGCTAAATTATATTAAAACATAACAAGAATTCATAATAATGGAAATAGGAAGAAGGAAGTGAAAAACTCGTGGAAGAATTCTCCGCCTTGCTCCTAGTGTGTTCTTGCCTCCTTAGGTCGAATCCCCGGTCTACTTAGCCTCCTTAGGTCTAAATTGTCAATAGTTCTCAAAGTACCGTTTTTCCATGTATATATACCTAGTAGGGTCGGTCCCAAACAATTCCACCTTCTCCTACGCGAAAAAGGACACTTTCCCCGGACAGGACGTGCATGGCCGCGGATTGACCGCGCATTTTGACCACCGTTCTGCCTGACATGCGCGGCCAGTGTGCGACCTCTCACTTTCCGCGCACTTTTAACCTTGTTCTGTTGGAAATTTAAAAAAATGTAAAATGTGAAAGTTGTAGACATTTGAATTAGCTTTCTAACCATATATTGTGGAGCCCAAATGGAGTTCTGAGCGAAAAGTTATGTGCATTTTACTATACAGTGCACAATATGCCTACTCGATTCTTCATTCATTCTTAACTATCATCCGTTGATCCCCGAACACGATCCCGACTTAATTCCTTGGGCTTTTACTCAGACTTCAAAGCTCTAAATCACTTGAATTCATTCCATAACATCTACATAGCTCGGAATCACTCCTACAAGGCATAAAACACACAATTAGTGCAAAACACTAGTGATTAAAGCTCAAACTCAATTAAAGTGTAGTAATTACAGTGTAATAAGCAATTAAAATACGTAATTATAGCTTATCATCAAGTCCCAACTTGGTTAATATATTTTCAATTATGTGATTTTCTTTGTCTTTGCTTAGTTTCTTTTACGATGTTGTTGAATAGTTAATAGATCTAACTCTAGACACATGTTTTTTTTTGTAGTTCATCACCCTTTTAACAGTAAAAATGTCGGAGAGTTTTGCTAAGTCCTATAAAAGTACACATGTTACTACATTGTACTTCTACTAGTGGCTTTTAAAAAAATACTGAAAATTAATCGAACTATAACGATATCGAAGATCGATTTTGAAAAATCTAGTTTTGATTATTTCGAAAAATTAATATGATATAAATATTATTAAATAATCGATCGAACCGAACCATTAACGCCCGCGGGTTGCCATAAACAGATAGTGGAAACGAAGACAACAAGAAAAACACACAAGTTACCTGCAAACCCGCAAATCATGTCAGTTAAAAATTCACGCCCTCCATTCACGTGGAAAAACAACAAGATGTGATCTACATTGAAATATCTTAGCTTCTTAAATAAATTCAAGAGCTTCCTTTCTGCTGGCGAAGCCATTGCTTTATAGACCATTTTTATTAATGACGTTCGGTGATTACAGGAGGCCGCATTAATTTATTAATGTCATACTTCTCTATAATAATATTTCTATATAATAACAGTTCGCTATAAAAGCCAAGTTTTTTGTGGAACCAATTTTCATGTTATGTTATAAGTAATATATATTCTCTATAACAACACTTCGCTATAACATCCAAAAATATTTGGAACAAACGAGGCTGTTATAGAGAGCATATGGGTTTATAATAATTAAATGATAAAAATGTTTGTAAATGATACAAATCATGTATTCACTAATTTGATACTCCCGCTGTATCAATTTAAACAATATACTTTCCTTATTAGTCCGTTTCAGAAAGAATGATACATTTCTATATTTAGAAATAAGTTTACTTTAAATTTTTTATTTTACCCACTTTACCCTTAATGAGAAGCTTTTATAGTCGTACAAATGTCATGGCCCCACAAAGTTTTTGCCCCTAAAACTTTTAGTATCACATATTTCAAAAGTCTTTTTTCTCTCTTCAACTTTATACCAAGTCAAATTATATTATCTAAATTTAAAGGGAAACAGTATAAAACAAGTATTTCCTGGTTGTAGTGTTAAAAAGGTTCCATTTTATGAACAAATAAATAAATAAATAAATAAATAAATAAGAATATTGTTTATATTCTGACATGCCAAGCTAACTAAACAGTTGTCTTTGTTATCTTCTAGATCTCTTCAGTGAATATTAATTAGAAAAAGATAAAATGACAAATTTTCTTCTTGTCACGCAGAGACAACTTTGAAAAAAGTATAAAGATAAATCAGATTTTATATTTTTAAATATGAACATTTTTTGTTTGGTTCTAGATTTGATTCTAATGGTCTCATCTTCTGTTAAACTCTTCACTAAGCTTTTCCTAATAATTTCTTTCCTTTTCTGGTTAAAATATGCTGACCGACTTTTCAAATTTAATTAAAAATTTAAAGGCCATCCATTTAGTTGAATATGTCATCACAAAGACCGCCATTTTGTTAGTTTATGTGACTATTCGAGGCGGACTCGGGATTTTAACGTGTGACGGGAGCACAATATTATATTCTGTTCAATCAGTGCCTCCGAAAAAGCTTTCAGCGTTAGGGGTGTCAAGTGATTCTATTTAACCATTTTTAAGGCTTACATACATACATATACAAAAAATTTGTTGAAGTTTACGGGGTCTGGTGACCCCTCAATGTAACACATACGTCGGCCTCTGGTTACTACAATGACGACATACGCCATAAATTTGTTTGTGTGAATATGAAGACAAATGAATTCTTCAGAAGAATCCCCTCTGATTTATGTATTTCTCTGTCTTGTATTACACTGTATGTGTCCTATTATATACACAAAGGACTAAATAAAATGACAAAGGTCTCTAGCAGACTCTGTACAAATGAGACAGAGAATGAAAGTTGTGTATTGGTCAG